AATTTATGTTCTGGGACAAGCGGTGCTTTAATTCACAAAGCTCTTGCCTTGCGGGTTGGCTGGGGCAAGGTGAAGATGACCTTGTGGTCATTCGGTTGGAGCCAGGAATGAAATTGTTAGCAATGAGGGAAATGTGAGGACAGCCCGCGAAGAGGCGAGATAAGAGGCAGAGCCTCGCCAGGGCACGACTGGAAGTGCTGCAGGTTATGAATGGGGAGAGAGGATGTGGGTTTCTGTTTCCTTTGAGTATTATGGAAAAGATACCTGAAAAAATGGGCTTCCTGCAAGACAAAGATCGAGGGAATTCCCCTGGCTGACGAGGCTCTGCCAAGCCCTTTGCTTCCTACAGTCTCGCTGGTGGGTATCAGCAGTAGAAATACTTGTTTCAGCTGCTGATCAGGCTGTAGGAATTTGTTTTTGTGGGAGAATCTTGGGTGCTTTGCTCACAGGACCCTCTGTGGGAAAACTTCTTGCCCAGAAATGCCTTTGTTCACCAAAGCAAAACAAACCGTTGTTTTTTCATGAGCATTAGAGCAAAGCAACTGTCTTGACTCTGTGGCAAGAAAAAGTTTTTAATGGGCTTCAGCGGTGAGCTAGAAGTTTTCTGCAGCCTGAAACTGGGAGGAAAAAGTAAAAACCCAGCAAAAACCAAACCAACTTGCAGTGCCAGGTGTTCTGTGTCATGGGACTGGGGGAAGTCAAGGCCAGGGACCTCCCCCTGCTCTGCCTCCTCTCTCTGGGCAATTAATGTTTGGGGGGGAGTGAAGGGTGCTTAAAGAAATGGGATGGGGGTGAGCTTGGGTGGCATGGCATAAAATAGCTTTTCATGGTGTGGGGATTTAGTGCTGGGTGAAGTCAGAAGAAATGCTAAAGTGGATTATAAATGGCACTGGTTAATCTTAAACTTAACACCAACAGGAAGCCAGAGGCTCGGGTGGGAAATTCCAAAGCTCACAAACAATGTTTTTTGGCCCATGCCAGAGTGAAAAGCTGGTCTTTTAAGAATGCTTCTGGGGAAATTCTGACCTGAAAACACTTTTTTTTTTTTTTTTTTTCATTAAAGCCCAGCATTAAATAAAACTGCACCAGGAGCTGGAGGCTTTGCATGCATGTGAAAGCTTTGCGAGCCTGTTGGATCTGATGTCCATGGGGTTCCTCGAAGTGCTTTGGTATTTTTATGGTTGAGCTATCTTTAATGCTCTTGGTGCTCCCTGGCAAATATCTTGGGACCTTGGCAGCAGCTTACAGGGCTTAGGGAGAATGTCTAGACGTGGGCTGTGAAGGTGTGATGTGCTGGGCTGCTGCCTCCTCTGCAAGGAGCCACCTTCTTTGCTCTGCAAACACCTGTTTTGTGGCCCCATGTGTGTGACTTGGCTGCCAGCACAGGTGCTTTGGCTTTCACAGGTGCTTTGTGGCAGTTGTTAAAGCAAGCCCCAGACTTCTCCCTTCCTCCCCCTGCCTTAAGGTAGGTTCCTTTTATTAAGAGCCTTTTGATTTCTAATATTAATAGAAAAATATCATTTTTCTCACCCTGTGTTTTAGCTTTGCCAGCTGCGAAAGGCTTTTTAGTAGCTTTTGGACCCCTTGGCTTTCACATCATTGCTTCTCTCCTCTGATTAACCAAACAAAGCTGCAGGTTGGACTTGGTACCTTGGAAGGCTTTGTTTTTTCTTCCCAAATATCGGCTTCTGCTGGAAGTTGGGAACCTCCCAGTCCTGTGACCCCGGGGCTGTGTGAGGACGGGGCACGGGGAAAGGCAGCGAGTGCAGCCCATGTGGCTCCATGCCAGGGCTGTTTCAAGCTGTCCTCCAAATTAGCAGTGGCTTAAAAAGCAATTCCTTCCTCTCCTGCTGGGCTTTCGAGTGGAGAGAGGCCAGGGTGAGCCGAGGGGTTGCAGGTGTGGAGATGCAGCACATAATCTGAGCATCATTCAGTCCTTGGGGTTGTATTTGCAGACTCTGTGCAGAAATGATAAAACTGAGAGGCAGAAGGAGTTTACTGTAGTGTTTTCAATAATGGCTTTGAGGGGAAAAAATTACCAACAGGCAAAGTGTTTGTAAGTGGAGGGCAGTAGCTCATTCTCAA